GTTGTCAGTGAAGGCAAACATGGTTATACGGGTGGATAGATGGGTGGACAAACTGAACTATTAGGTATGTCTATGAAGTGGAGAGTGTATCTAAGAACATGTATAGGGTTGGCAGACAATGGTCCCATAAGTTTATGTGAATGATCAGAATTCCCAGGTGTATAATAGAGCTGACAAGGAGCAAGGTTGTGGTCATTGCTTGGTCACAGCCAGCTACCCAGAGGACTGAGTAGTTGAACCTGCGGGCTTGGGACCATAGTCGCAGGGGACATCAAGCTCATTTGGCATAACATACTATGCAAACCATTGTTCCACCTCCTACTTTGGTGAGTAGCGACTGGGATCTTAAAAGCTAGCACGATATCATCTAGATGCAACAATGGGTCTCTCCTCGTCCAGAGCAAAGAAGAATGAAGAAAACCAAAATTCATAGAAACAATTAGTCCTAGCAACTGGTATACCATCCGATCTGCAGCCTATATGACTATGAGACCAGAAGAACTAGATGGTGCCCTGCTACCACTGTCATTCACTTGGAAGGGGATCTATGTAGGAGATCCTTGATAGAGAGGGAGAAGAAAGTGGATCAAAACTCAAAATCATTTGGAGGAAAAAAAAAAAGAGGTGGGGGGGACCAGGTTTGCTGGTCTGATAGAGCCTGGTGGAACCACTGAGACTATGGCCCCTAGCTGCCCTTCAGGTCTGGAATTGAACCCACACTTGTGGTTTCCAGCCAAACAAAAGACAGGCATATGAATTGAACATATACCTGAGGTACATACACTTCTTGGAGAGAACAATCATGGGAGAAAGAAGGGCTGCTTATGCACAGGGAGACAGCTCAGGGGGTAGGAATGCATGGAGGGATGGACACAGGAAAGAGGTAAACTATGGGAGGAAGTGGGAGGGGAATTGTTGCATTGTGGTAAATTGTGGTCAATATTATGAGACAAAGTGTATGTGAACTGCTGTATGGAAAATGAATTTGCTCTGTAAATTTTCACCCAAATCACAATAATAAAAAAAAATAGTTTTCTTAAAAAAAAAAAAAAAGAAGTTTCCTAAAACCTAAGTTCCTAGACATCAACCAAGTGCCAACATTGTAAGCAGGTCCTTCTAACATAGGCCTGCTATGTTAGCTCTTGTCTCCACAGTTACTGTAATCATCATCATTATCATCAGTTATAGTTACAGTTATTGTGAAAGTTATAGTTATAGTTATTGTGAAAGTCACACAGGTAGTAAATATCTGATCAAAACCTGTGCTTTTACTGCCACACTGAACACGATTAATATGTATAAATAACTAATGGTTTCATACATTAGAAGATTATTTGGTTTATTAAGAGATTTTGAGGAAATGCTTATGTTAATGAAAAAGCAAGATGTAAAATTTCATATCATTATGATCACAACTCTGTAAAAGAAAAATGATTTTAAGAAGTACTTGGGGGCAATATACCTCTGGATGGTAAAGTTATAGGTGTTTCTCCTGACTGTTTATCAGTTCTTGTAACTTCTAGTTTTTTATAATGAATAACTATGCTTTGATAATAAAAAGTTAAAACTAAAAATAACCTTGTTCTATGTAACATGGCATCTTGTTGACTAACTGCCTGTATTATTTTCTAATGAAATATTAGTTGATGAAAACAATTTAGGGTGGACCATAAATGCTTCTAACAGCAGCTGAAAAGCATTGTTTTGCTTCTTGACTTATTTATTACTTTAAATAATAGTATAACTTTTCTCTCTGAATATCGTTATTCTTTGTCCTTTCAGTTTGAGGGTAACAACTTACACCAGCTGGTTCTGAAGATTTGTCAAGCTCATTTTGCCCCAATATCTCCAAGGTTTTCTCGTGACCTACAGTCCTTGATATCTCAGCTATTTAAAGTGTCTCCCCGAGACCGACCATCTATTAATTCCATTCTGAAAAGGCCTTTTTTAGAGAATCTTATCGCCAAATACTTGTCTCCTGAGGTGAGTTTTGAGGTGACTCTGTTTAGATTTTGACAGAGAGTTCGATTGTCAAATCCTTAGCAGTGAGACAGGATTTTGGTTTTAGGTCATACACGAAGAATTCAGTCATGCGCTCACACAGAGAATGAGATTTTCAGCTCCACGACCTCCTGGGAAGATGGTCCAGGGTAAGAATGATTTAACTTTGTAGCCAAAAAGCATTTATTACATGTGTCTAACACAGTCAGTCTAACACAGTCAGCTGATAACATTAGTATGGAAATTCCACCAAATATATTGAACATGGACATTTAAAAAATATAAGCAATATAAGTAGGAGAAAAATAATCTTGTCAAATGGTAACTAATGAGTGAATTTGAGAAGTTGTATATCTAGCTCATGCATGACTTAGAGGAGTCATCTCATCTCTTATCGTTAGTCAGGGGAACTTCATGGAGAAGTAGACTTGCTAGTAAAAAAGATGCTTGAAGAGTTAGAATCCAAACTTAACTTTTGTGTAGGGAAAGGCTAGAGAGTGGAAGGAGATTCACACACAGACTTGGGATGATGAGAGGGAGTGGGTTTTTTGTTTTTTTGGTTTTTTTTTTGGTGAAATAGAGAGGATGACTGGCAATTAAGAATTCTTTTGCAAAGGGCTGTTGTTGGCTAACCCATTGGAGCTGAGATCAAAATCTTGGACCTAATTAATCACAGTGTGAGCCCCATTGCCACGTGACCCTCAAAAAAGAAAGTAATACTTTTTGGTAATGATAAGTAGAGAAAGGAATTTTACTGGTAGTGTCAGGAATCAGCTGATGAAGGGCTGTGTGTGTTGTGTGTGTATGCATATTTAACAGAAAGTGATATTAAGAAGAATTTTTTCCTAGGCCAGGTGGTAGTTGCTGGAGAAAAAGAAGATTATTAATTTAGTAAGATGTTGTGAAGGAGCTCTGGTAGTGTAGTGCCTAAGACATTTGACTGCTAACCAGAAGGCTGGCAGTTCAAACCTACTAGCGACTCCTCGGAAGGAAGGTTGGGCAATCTACTTCCATAGTGATAACGCCTCAGAAATCCAAGGAGGGGTCGCTATGAGTTGGGTCTGACTCGACGGCAAATAACAACAACAACAGGATGTTGTGAAAGTAGAACACCAGGAGTTAGCAATAACCAAATATCTGGGCTTAAAGTATCAGGAGGAGTAGGAAATAGCTCCAAGAAATCAGTGCTAGGGAGGTATTTTCTACTGTGTTAGAGAAACAAAAATTGAAGAAAATAAGTGAGCCTCTTTATCATGTTTAATTTGACTTGGCATTGTTATTTATCAGTGTAGATTGAGAATGTTTAGAGAGTAGGTAAGTAGAGAATGAGAAAAAGAACATTGCCTATATTCCTTATATAGGAACGATGGGAAAACAAGAGAACGTTTTGATGGAGACAGACTAACATATTAAATGATCTACTCAAAGACAACAATGCAACATGGGTGGTGTGACCTGTTAACTCGAGCTCTGATGACTACATTTAATTACTTGTGTCATGATTCTATGCATAGCATTTCTATAAATGTTAAGATTAATTCCTAAATGTTTTTAAAACAGTAGTATTATATATTACTTGAAATATGTAAAGGAACCCTGGGAAAAACGTTTTTCTCCAGTCAAGAAAATGCTTAGTAATTTTCCATTAGCAATTCTCTCAGTATATATATGAATGTCTCCAGCTAGAGTAAAGTTGGAGCTCTGGTGGTGCAGTGCCTAAGACATTTGACTGCTAACCAGAAGGTTGTTGGGTCACATCAACCAGATGCTCCATGGAAGGAAGGTAAGGCATCTGTTTCTGTAAAGATTTTGTTGATATGTGCCATCGAGTCAGACCCGACTCATAGTGACCCCTCCTTGGGTTTCTGAGACAGTATTACTACAGAAGTAGATTGGCCAACCTTCCCACTGCCTTGGAAACTCAATGGGGATTGCGATGAGTTGAAATCAACTCAGTGGCAGTGGGTTTGGTTTAGAATAAACCTATGGTGCTATGAAGTGTGGTTTATCTTCGTACTCCCACAAGCACCAGTATTAAAGGTGTGGGAGTTTTTGAAAATAGATGTTGTTTCATTTTGGCTAAATGTGATTCTAAAGTACAGAAAGTGAGATGCCAGGGAAAGTGCCCACCAAGACCAAGGATATCAGTGCCAATAAAAAGGAAGGACATATTACATAGGAATGAATGGAGACCACCAGCTGGAGCCCAGAAGCCTCTATCTGTAAGTTGTGGTAAACCCTCCCCCTGCATCTTCAGCACATGTTTCTCTGAGTGGTGCAGATGGTTAACGTGCTCCCTGCTAACCAGAAGGTTGGAGGTTTGAGTCCACCCAGAAATATCTGGGAAGAAAGGCCTGGTGATCTACTTCCAAATACTAGCCATTGAAAACCCCATGGAGCACAGTTTTCTCTGACACATGTGGGCTCACCATACGGCAGCTGGTTTGTGCTTGTTTTATATTCCATCAGACCTATCTGCACATGCTCATTAATGTGTAGTCCACAGGTTTTATATTTATAAAAAATCCTTTATTAATGGTATTAAAGTGGTACTACATTGGACAACTTCTAGTTATATTTTTAAAAACATTTCTATCTATTTCCTTACATTAGTTTTCTTTTATTTATTTCTTTTATAACTAAATTTTCTGTTGTTGCTCTTGTTGTTAGGTGCCAGTGGGTTGATTCTGACTCACAGTGGCATCAGGTGATAGAGTAGAACTGCCCTGTAGAGTTTTCTAGGCAGTAGTCTTTATGGGTGTGATCACCAAGTCTTTTTCCCATGGAGCCACTGAGCAAGTTCAAACCACCAAACTTTGGGTTAGCAGCTGAGCTGTTGTACCACCAGGGCTCCTTCAAAAGTCTCCTAGTTTCTTTAAATAAATATGTTTTTTCCTGTATGGGAGAAATGAGTGGCAAAGCAGCAGAAAACACTCTGCACTTCATACTCTTAATTCTCAATTGTTATATGCAGTTCAGAAGTATCTATTGTCTAGTAATTGATCTTTTCCTAGTGTTGATTCATGCTTAGCTATTTTAATCCACTCCAGCAGAATGTTGAATATTTTAGTTCATTCTAGTGAAATGCTTCTAGCATATAAACGATAAAATGGATGTTGTCTTTTAATTGAAGAATTTTATTTTTAAAGAAAGCTTATGGTGTGATTAAAGGACCATTTCGAAGTATGTTTACTAAGAGTTTGTGTGATGTACAGGGAGCTTTGGTGGTGTAGTTGTAAGGCATTTTGCCTACTAACCAAAAGGTCAGTGGTTCAAATCCACCAGCTGCTCCATGGAAGAAAGATGAGGCAGCTATGAGTCAGAATCAACTCAATGGCAGTGAGTTTGGTTTGGTTTGGTTTTGGTCCTTTTGGATTATATAAAGGTAAGATTGTAAAACTAAGGAAACTATTTCACACGTTAAAAGATTTTAAAAATAGATATGTAATTCGTGTTTAGACTAATAAACCAAATAAACCAAATTTTATACATTTACTTTAAATACTACTATATGAAAGTGTCATTTTTAGTAAGTTAAAGATTGAATAGCTACAGTTTCATATGGTTCAGTGTAACATATATTTATAAACCATGCAGCATTTTGTGAACAAAGAATATTATGTGAACAAAGACTATGTGAATACTCATTATGTGAACAAAGAATATAGCCTGTCACTTCTTTGTGAGGAAACTTCAGTTTTAACAATTCTTTGGCTATTCATATTCCCAAGTACCAGCTGCTATGTCTTTCAAGTAGTTTAACCATTTTTTCTTTTATCATCAACTGTCATAATTGTCAATTTAATGTTAAAATGAGCTTTCTTTGTTATTTAGCAAGAACAAGAGCTTGGCTGGTTTTAATGACTAAATTTGTTCTGACTCTTATCTTTTTGTTCATGGCCATTATTCAACTGTACTGATGTACTGTTTTTTTGTTTTTAATGGTTGTTATTGTGGTAAAAATACTGTGGAAAAATGAAACATTTTCCAGAACATTTTTACATGTACAATTCAATGACATGAATTACATTCATCATCCTACTACCATTAACAGTAACTCATTGTCCTCTAAGCTTTCTCCTCCCCTCCCTGTTAGCCCTGGTAACTGCTAATAAACTTTGGTCTCTAACTCCTGTCATACTTTGTGCTGGTTCTTCTCTTCTGTTAGGGAAGGGTTGTGAGGTGTAGCCACTGTAGATTGGGATGGTAATATGCCTGTCACAGCTGGTAAATGACCTTCCTTTTCTTTTCTCTGGAAAACTGACTCTGAATGACACAACATCTTCTTTTCTTCATGATGACATTTTGCATTTAGTCAATTTATCAGGAACTAAAAATGTTGCAAATCCTCAAACATGTGAATTACCCAATAGCATTTATGCTTTCATAACGTGCAATGTGGTCTAAATAAGCTTATGAAAAATTAAAAAAAAAAATCTGAGTTTAGTTTCAGATGTTGGGTTGGCTAGTCATATTCTAATACTAAGTGTTTTTCACACGTTTGTCTTGAATTAGGTATGATTCATATCCACACCTTAGCAAATAAGCTACTGTATTACATTACTTAGGTGCTCTGCTGGTATAGTGCCTTAGGCACTTGACTGCTAACCAGAAGGCAGGTGGTTCAAACCCAGCAGCCACTCCTTGGAAGGAAGGTTGGGCAATCTAATACCAGCTCAGAAACCCAAGAAGCAGTCACTATGAGTCGGATCTGACTCTATGGCAGTGAGGAGTATTACATTACTTAGAGATCTAAGGTCTTTTTTGTTTCTATGATTTGGGGGGTTTAACATGATTTTACTCTGAAAATAAGAGTTAAAACAACAAAAATATCCTTTCAATGTTTTGTCTTAGCTATAGTCATCAAGCTGTCGATTATTATAGATTTATAATATGTATTTTAAAAAATCTTCTACAGATAAAAATGGTAGAAAGGCCCCAAATCGCTGCTATGTGTGGACATTATGATTGTTATTATGCTCAACTTGACCTGTTAAGGAAGAGAGCCCATGAACCAAGTTATCAACATGTTCCTCGAAAATATACCAGCGTTGAGAATTATAATCAAGAAGAAAGCCACAGTCCATCACCAGGCCAATGGTAATATCATAGTCTAACTTCAACTTTGATATCTTAAAATATCTTTATATCAACATTCTTTATTCTGAAGTCCTTCCAAATTCTAAAATAAATAATTCAGGAAGAACTTCTACACTGTTCATTTTAAACAGTTCATTCAGAGCTCCCTTGACCCTTTTTCATCTCAAGTCTGATATAACTTATCTTATTATTCATGTAGCCATTTAACTGTCAGCATAGATTCATACTCTTGAGTTTTTTATGTTTTTCCTTCCTTCTGGTAAATTCTACTACCTGGGAGTGATGAAAATAGTTGCATATGTTTCATTTTCCAAAGAGGTTATTTAATACTATTACTATTAATTGTTAATAATTGAATTATAGTAAAATGACCATTTGAAACATTAACATTTAATTCAGCATTTGTATGCTTGGAATTTTCAGATATGAATGTATTAGAAACAAAATAATATAGTTAAACTGTTCCTATGGTAGATTTTCAAAAAGTTTACTCCATAACAAATTCCTGAAGATCTATAATATTTTCAGGTGTTTTTTCCACACTGTCAGTGTTCCTGAGTCCAAAATAATCGACACCTACCAAGAGGCTGAGAATAATTTTGCAAAAATATTTTTGCCTTTAAATTTTTCTTCCAAGGTTGGGAATTTACTAATTTTTGGTGACTATGGCTATTTATTGTTGAAATATTGGATGGATCATAAAAATATAAAGGATTATATGAGAGTGAATCATCAAATAGCCAATGAAAATTGGATAAGCTAGACTGATAGAAGAATTATCTGCTCAGAAATAGGTATGGAAAAGCAGAAGTTTTATTTTAAAGATATTGGGTTCTACTATCCATTTTCATGGGAGCTCTGGTTGCATAGTGGCTAAGGCACTTGACTGCTAACCAGAAGGCTGGCGGTTCAAACCCACCAGCCACTCCTCGGAAGAAGGATGGGG